CCTCCTCCTCCTTCTCCTCCTCCTCCTCCTCCTCCTCCTCCCTCTCACCCGCTGCATGATGCACACACCGCCATGGGCAGATCACGGATTGACCGTCCGCAGCCATTCTGGGTGCAAGTTTGTTTCTGGCATTTCTGCGATCGCAGCGAATTGCATGCCCAAGGAGACGTTCAACCATTGGTTTCGGTCTCAGATGTCGAGTTGAACATCTAGCGTATCGCAGTGCCACGTTCAGTGACGTTGTGATAATTTTCAGCCTGTGCTATCATTGCAAGTTTTGCTTTGTGTTCCCAAACGGGAGTTTGCTACCAGGGACCACGTTAACAATTTTCCAAAGCAGTAAATACGTGTTTATTCGCAGCTATGCCACGTAACCCTCTGACTGCTTGGCCAGAACTCGGCCGATTGGTCGAATGGGAAGGGGTTCGTTTGGTCGTCACCACGCGCGATCTCATCGACGTGTTGTTTTCCACCACCGCATACATGTTGTCGCAGCTCGATCTTCCGCTCGCCGCTTGGCAGAAGGGCATGTCTGCAGCTCTTGATCTCATCAAATCTTGGCGCTTTGACGGCATGCGCCAGTGCTGGCAGAGGGTTGGCATTGAGGCATTGTGGTCTAGTCTGCAGGTCTGCGGAACACTATTGTGGATGAGACGTTCCCTGAAATGCGCGCAAGTCACGATTATCGCGATGTTGTTGACCCCGGTCCACAGAGACACTATATCGGCTCCCGGATTTTTGTCGACTCTGGGGGCCGAGTCCTCCTACACACGGCCATTCAGAACTTGCTTCGTTTTCAGCGTGACGCGATTACTTTCTGCAACACGTCGGAGAGCCTTGTATACACCTGGGCTGGGCCGGGCATGCGGTACATCGGGTCTGCTAGACGCCGCCACCACTCAGATTGCCAATCCAGGCGTCTGCTACAGATGGCTGGAGTACGCGGTCTTGGAGAGGCATTGGAAAACCGGCACCTTTTGATCCTGCAGGTATGACATTGCCCGCCGTCTGCGGCGAACGGGCTTCCTCTTTCTACGCAAGGGGGGTGCTCAAGTAATGCAGGCGACAAAGGAGCGTCATCATCAAAGCTTTGCGGCCCAATGCAAATGCTCATGTCCCCAAGCTTGAGGTTCGCGCAGCTACGTCAGCGAGGCGACGCAGACCACCACCTTCGAGACGCCTTGGTCACTATGAACATGCTTTGTGCGATCTTCGTGGTCATCCTTCTGCTCCTCGTCTTGTTGCTGCGCTAGCATCCTCCTCCTCCTCCTGCCTCCGCCTGCGCTCCCTGGGGGGCTGCGAATTGCGCAACTGCCTCCACCTGCGTAGGGCTCCCGGGAGGCTCGGCGGAGTCTGAGAACAGACGGATCCAGACCAGACCTCGCAGCTCCCTGGGGGGGCTGCGAAGTGCGCAACTGCATCCAACTGCGCAGGGGTCCCGGGAGGCCCGGCGGAGCAGGGGCGCGAACGTACCAAGACGAGACCTCGCAGCTCCGTGGGGGCTGCGATCTGCACAATGGTCGCCACGTTCGCGGACTCCTGGGAGGCACGGCGGAGATGAGGGCAGCCTGATCGAGCAGATCCGGCGATGTGTTCCTTTCTATGGAGCGGTCATAGAAATATCTGCCTCGCGTGCAGAGGGGATTGGATACGTGTCGGGTAATCGCCATGCATGTGTCCGTTGTTTTTCATCATGCTCGCCACCCCTGGCATAATTCTGGACTGGTCCTTGCTCGAGGGGGCATTGGGATGGCCTTGTGGTCCACTTGTTTCTGTGCATCTGGTGGATTTGATGGAGCTTTGACCTCTGGACCTCCATGTGTTCGTGCATGTTGGCCTCCTTGGCGGCGGGCTCTGGTCTCGCTGGTGATGAGCTGCGTCCTGGCCTCCTTCTGTTGGATCTTGATGGTCTGGGTATCCTCAAATCTTGGGCCTCGATTCTCTTTGATGCGCTTCCTCCTGCTTGTTGGCTTCGATGTGCCTCTGCTGGTGAAGTTCCTTGTTGAGATTGTCGAGCTCGCTCTTGTACCCGTGCTCCGGTCTCTCTCTTCGCTGGTGGTTGTCCTTGTTCGCCTTCCCGTACCTGACTTGTGCCTTCTGTAGCACCAACCACAGGTTGTTGATGATGTCCTCGTGAGTTTGTTTCTTGTCTCGCCCATGGCTGCGCAGCGCTCTGCAATGTAGCCCCATTGTCTTGCTGCATCCAGGAGCTCTTGAGCGATGTGATTGCCTTTCTGCTTTTCGTTGGACATGTGGTGATTCGCTGTTCCAAGCTCTGTCGTCAGCGCCTCCTGCCTCCTGCCCGCCTCGATGTAGAATTCCGCTCTGTTCTCCTCACGTTATTTTGCGTGGTGGATGATATTTTGCTAGCGATGCAGCTCCTGTTTTTCGTATTCGTCCTTGGCAGCCTGCTCCTCCTCCTCCTCTTCCTCCTCCTCCTCCTCCTCCTCCTCCTCCTCCTCCCTCTCCTCCTCCCTCCTCCTCTCCTCCTCCTCCTCCTCTCCTCTCTCCTCCTCCTCCTCCGCTCCTCCTCCTCCTCTTCCTCCTCCTCCCTCCTCCTCCCTCCTCCTTCTCCTCCTCCCCCTCCCTCCTCCTCCTCCTCCTCCTCCTCCTCCTCCCCTTCTCCTCCTCCTCTTCCTCCTCCTCCTCCTCTTCCCTCCCTCCCCCCTCCTCCAACTGCTCCTCCTCCGCCTTCTCCGCTCCTCCTCCTCCTCCTCCTCCTCCTCCTCCTCCTCCTCCTCCTCTCCTCCTCCTCTCCTCCTCCTCCTCCTCCTCCTCCTCCTCCTTTCCTCCTCCTCCTCCTCCTCCTCCTCCTCCTCCTCCTCCTCCTCCTCCTCCTCCTCCCTCTCTATTCCAAGGCCCCCTCGCGTTGTAAAACAAGCACGACGGGAAGTGTTTTGTTCCTTGTGTTCGCCCCCCGATAGGGGTTCTTTCACCGAGCCTCGGGGCCGTCAACATAACGACTCAGGATATGAAAGGCCATTCCGGAGGAAGGGGTCCAGACGTCTGGGGGTGGACGTGGTGAAACAAAATCACGACGTCGGGGGTCTGGGGGCGTGGCCTCTCGCCCGGGTCGACGAGAGCAGCGGCTGCCGACGGGGATGCGCAGGACATGTCGCCTGTTGCCCCATCCTGGGCCTGCCCAGTGTGCCAGGCGCCCTACCCTAGGCTCGATCCTCGATCCTC